CAAAACAAAACAAAACAAAACAAAACAAAACAAAACAAAACAAAACAAAACAAAAAGGCCTTCCAAGGGACAAGACCAAGGGAAAAACATGACATGCAAACAAACAAACAAACAAACAAACAAACAAACAAAACCCTTTTACCTATAGGAGAAAAACTTTGGTTCTCAAGAAGTTAAACGAAGTAATGCATGTAAAAGCCTGGTGTGTGGTAGGTCCTCCGGAGTAGTGAGAGGCATCAGGGAGCTGGCTTGTGCTGGCGCCAGAGGACCTGCAGAGTCTCATGGAGTTGCTGACAAAGCCAGGCCATCCACACAGGACTTTCCTGACTGTGCCTTCTGGGTGTAGTTGATAGCGTGCCACAGATCCTAGGAAAGTGACCTAACTTGGATTTTTCTCCATGAACACAAAATTGCAAGTAATTCTCATTTGCATGGTGATGGGGAGTTAATTTTTCCCAGAAGCTATGTGTCAAAACTCATGGAAAAAAAAAAAAAAGGGGCATTTCTTAATAATGATTAATCAGCCGTATCACAAAGGAAAAGAAAGAAAAGATAAACAATTAAGAAAATGAAATACTAAAGAAATGAAGGGGGAAAATCTCCTGAAGGTGGACCCACCCAGTAAACCTTGACAGCATTTCCTCCTATCCACCACATAAAAGTGAGCAGCCCTTTCCAAACGGCAAAGAGCACAGTGACGAGAGAAGATTCCATTGTAGCAGGAGGCACTGGGAGAGGTGAGGCTGGGGTGGGCTATCCTGAGCTTCACTGGGGGCCTTCATACTACAGGGGTTACCACTGTGCATGAAGTATGTTGCTCAGGGTTTTGTTTAGGAAGTATGTTCCTCAGTAAGGTTTTTGTGGTATGTGGAGGAGTACTTCAATGTATGTGTGTGTGTGTGTGTGTGTGTGTGTGTGTGTGTGTGTGTGTGAATTTTCTGGTACCTTCTTTTTAACAAAAGGAATGGAGAAAAGAAAGGGGAAAAGACAGAACATAGAGTATGAAGGAATCAAATATCTTTACTAAGACTTTTCCATCCCTTTGTGGTATTAAATATCTTTTTAAATACAATGTACATTTGTGGTTCAGTGGGACCTGATCAGAAATAGGTGTCTGGTATGAAGCTGTGAACTCCAGGAGAGATGGATACGTGTGCAGGAGAGAAATCACTTTGTAAACAGGAGGTTTAGCCATAAGGAGTGGGTACAGAGGTCAGCAGCCCCCTTCAGCTCTGGCAACCCATTTCATTCCCCTAATTCTTAGTTTCCTCCTGGGTGAAATGTGGATAGAAACTAACCTTCTGGGTTTGGGAGTAGGTGTCCCATGAAACGAGGTAATTATGCAAAACGTTTTATACAGAGCCCAACATGCCCACTGTGCAGGACAAGCGCTGCCTCCTCTGTCGCTTCAGTTGGCCAAGATGCTGTCTTTAGTCTGGTGCTCTGAGAAGGACCCATTTTAGGAAAATGCCTGGACTTGCTGTTTCTTGACTTTGTAGACAAGGAACCTCAGAAGCTCAGGTCTGTGGTGGTGTGGAGTGAGGCAGTGAGGCCCACATTCACATAGCCATTTTGTAATAAACCCCTAGAACCATAGTGAGAGTCTAGAAGTGGGCTGGCTAGCTGTGTTTGGGACCCTTCTTTCTTCAGAGCATACACTGGCCTCTGCACACATGAAAGCCCTCCATGATACTAAAGCTCACACTGGGCAGAGGGCAGAGGGCAGATCACATGCTATTGTAAGGTTTTTCTCTTTGTGAGAGGAGGGTGACAAAGGCAGATCCTAGACTGTACAGCGATGTGTGACATGTTTGTGCACACTTAGCTCCAAACATGATTTTAGGCAAATATGCCCTAGGGTTCTCATAAAAGGTGCTGCTTCTTTTGGAGGAAAACACAGAAAAGCAAACGGGCTCTTACGGTTTTTCAGATCTGTTACCCATCTGCTCTCCTTATTCAGTTTATTAGAAATAAGTCTTTTTACCCCAGTTGGTGAGGGGTTGAGTCAGAGAGTGATACTGCAGTGAGAGCCCAGAGCGGGGGGGGTGGTGGTGGTGGTGGTGGTGGTGGTGGTGGTGGTGGTGTAGGGTGTAGGGGTCAGAGTCAATTAATTCAAGGAAACCACAGGAGCCTTTGAAGCTCCCCAAGACAGAGGGCTGAGTCTTGTTTCAGTTGCCATCAGAGGGCTGGTCCCCAGGAGGAGCATGTGAAGGGTTGATTTTCTCTGCTCTGCAGTCTAGGTGGACAACATCCTTATTGTGGGACATGAAGACACAGTGTGCTTCTCACTGGCTCCTGGGAGTGATGTTCATTCTCTGCTTAGTTCACACCCACAGTCTCAGGAGATGTCTGATTTCTGTGGACATGAGCCTCATAGGAAAGAGTTTCCAGGAAATCAAGAGAGCCCTGGTGAGCATGGGTTTTCTGAGAGAGCTGGGATGCTTTGCCTTACATCTTAGCCTACAAGCCAACTTCCTGCCTGTTACTCATGAGTTCCCCTGAGAAAGGGCAGAGTTCTCATTGATGTCCATCCTGTTCTCCACAGCAAACTAAGGACACCTTCCAAAATGTCACCATCCTGTCCACACTGGAGAATCTGAAGAGCATTAAGGTACCAATTGGTTTGTGTCTCTTGTGCTAGGAAATACATTCCTGCCCAGGACAGTGCTAATATTCCAGGCTTATTTGTCATCTAAGCAGTTTGCTCACATCAATATTAAAGTGACTCTGAAATCATGGGTAAGACCAAAGAAGTGACACTTCCCCAGAGGGTGACAGAAGGACCAGATACTCCAATGGGGCAGGATTTCAGAGGCTTGGAGATTGTTTTTGAAGATTCCTTAGGGAGAAATGAAACAAAACAAAACAGTCATTTAAAAGCTGAGGAGGCTTAGATAAGTAAATAAATGGCTTAAGATACAGGGGAAAAATGAGTGTCACATCAGTGAAGGCAGGACTTCACTGTGATAGAGACAGTGAAACAAGCATGTTTAGGATGCAAAGGACATGTAGACTAGGATAAGGGGCTCAAAGGGACCAACCAGGATATGCTTTTGGTTTTCTGACAGGGACACCAGAGGAAGCTTTTGAGATGAAAGTAATATGACAGAATTAGTTTAGAAAGTCTGGGACTAACTTTACAATGGGAATTTCTTGGGAAAGCCAGTAGGGTACCAGCCCAGCTTTCCAGAAGGACAGGAACAGGGTTTTACCAGACCAAAGAGCCTGTCAAGTACCTTTAGAGTCATTTCTCAAGCCAGGTGCATGGGACATGCTTGTGCTCTCATCACTTGGGAGACAGAGGCAGAGGATACAAATTTGTAGCCAGTCTGTTCAACTTTGTGAGTTCCAAGCCAGCCAGGGCTATGTTGATGCATAAAATAGGAAGGAAGGAAGGAAGGAAGGAAGGAAGGAAGGAAGGAAGGAAGGAAGGAAGGAAGGAAGGAGGAAGGAAGGAAGGAAGGAGGAAGGAAGGAAGGAAGGAGGAAGGAAGGAAGGAAGGAAGGAAGGAAAAAAAGAAAGGAAATTCAAAGGGAATAAGTGATGGTTTATTGTGGAGTCAAATATGAACGGCCACAGCCTGGGATCTAGGTTATGACAAATACAGTGTTCTAAAGCAGTAGAGTCTCATGAAGTTTGTATAGTAATAGAACAAAAGAAAGTCATAAATTAAGGCATTTAAAAATGTATTGGTGGAAGCATAAGGCAGGCAGGATATAGCAAACTGTGGAGAATTTGCTAAGGGCCTCAGGTGCTCTCTGATGACATTCTTAGCTTTGGGGACACAGGTGGTCTGTTAGTATATTCCAGAAGTGTCTCCTGATAGTCACAGGTGCTAAGTCACACACAGAGTTGAATGTCCATTGAGGGGCTGTGACAGCCCAGATTGGCTCTGGATGTACAACATTACAACTCTTCATAGTCACACAAGTTCTAATGTGTCAATCAGCCTTATAGGAACTTTACCACAGGTTAGTCTTTTTTTTTTTTTTTTTCCTGGCAACTTTCAGTTCACAGTTGTCAAGACCCTGTCTCAAAAAGCAAAACAAATTCTTAAAAACAATGAAAGTTTTGACCTCTGAATCTATTTTAAAAGTGATCTACATTGCTGTTGTTGTTGAGTACTTACATGGCAAACTAAGAGTAAATATCTGTAAGGAACTGAGGCTGTGACTCAGAAGGGATGATGAGTTAATGGCCAAGCTAGGAACAGGACACTCCCACTTCCGGCTTATCTTGGTTTCCAGATTCTTTCTCCTCTTGAGCTTGAGGAATAAATGATGTGGGATAAGGAAAGGAGCTAGTGGATCTGCATCTTTATCATATTCCCTTGTTCCTCTCTTCTTCCTTTCCCCTCCTTCTTTCTTTTCCCTTTTGAAATTTTATTTGTGTGTGTGTGTGTGTGTGTGTGTGTGAGAGAGAGAGAGAGAGAGAGAGAGAGAGAGAGAGAGAGAGAACTTTTAGGTGTTGGTTTTCTCCTTCCTTCATATGGGTTCTGAGGGTGGAACTCAGGTTCACAGCCTTGGCCACAAGTTTGCTGATTGCAGAACCAACGTTCCTTCCTTCCTTCCTTCCTTCCTTCCTTCCTTCCTTCCTTCCTTCCTTCCTTCCTTCCTTCCTTCCTTCCTTCCTTCCTTCCTATTTTTTTTTTTATTTTCTAATGCCACAGAATTTAATAACACAGAGGTGTGTAACTTTTTCCTCTGGCTAAGGGGCTCAGTGAGCTGGTCCTGCATTCTGACCAGTCTGCTGCCATCTAGGGAAAGCTGCCCTCAGGGCTAGAGGCAGAAGCATAAATCTGCAGTACTTCCTTAGGCCTGCAAGACTGCAAATTGCTGGAAGTAAACTGTCCCCTGCTTCTCTGGACTGTGCTTTGAGCATCTGGAGTCTTGTCTTGGAGCATCTGCTTTTCATTGCAGTCCTCTGACCTTCCCAGATGTGGCTGTCAGTCTCTAGTCTTGCAAATCCCCTTACCCAAAATTTAAGGAACAAACTGCAAGAGAGCCTAGTAGTGTGGTCCAGAGTTCAGTGGCTAAGGTGATATCATGGTACATTGCTCATGCCTGGTATAATATCTGATGTCCAGGAGCCAAGGATGTTGTGGGCTGGGAGACTACAGAGCTGACAACCCTGGTTTGTGAGATACAAACCTTCTCATAAAGGAGGCACCTGGTTCTTGGAGGGATTAAGAACTTGTTGATAATATGTTAGGGATGGTGTGGAGAGAATCCTTGCCAGTGATGGGATTCCAACCTTATTTCTCTTGGCTGGAGGTAGCTTGGCTATGCACAGTGTGAAAGAATACCCTGAATATTAGAAAAGAACGACTAGTTCTTTCCCTTGTACTTTGTTTCTTAAATGTTTAGAGCAGAGGGCCTCCAGGGAATGCTCTAATTTGTGTCTGTAGCCTGTAGATGTGTGCTGCGTGACCAACAACCTCCTGACGTTCTACAGAGACAGGGTGTTCAAGGACCATCAGGAAACCAGCCCCAAGGCCCTGAGGAGAATCAGCAGCATTGCCAACTCTTTCCTCCACATGCAGAAAACTCTGGAGCAATGTGTGAGTCAGTACATCAGGGTCCCAAGCATCTGCTCACATCTGTCCAGAATGAGCCTAGGACATGTGAAGTCAGGACATTTCTTGCCCTATCATTCATATTTGTGTCCTTTGAGACTTTGCAGTGGTTTTGCCTGTCTCAGGGGCCTAATGACGTCTCATCAGATGGCCTACCTTAGGGAGCAACCAATTGATGTCAGAGTATTTCCTAGGTGTACAGTAGCCCATAAGAGGGACATGCCAAGGGTTGCATTCTGACCATAAGCATGCCACTTTCTGTTTCTGACCCTTTGGAAGTTCCACACTAACATTTCTGGGGAGTCATATGGTAAAGCCTGTCTCCAAGGGTCAGCTGTAAGTTCACTATCACTTATGACAATCAAGCAGAGATAAAAGAAAAAGTAATCAACAAAAAACTTAAGCTAAGAGAAACCTTAGGTTCCAGCCCAATGGTTGCTGGAGAGTTCCTGCATGGTGTGGTTCCTTAGTGGTGGATGATTTTCTGTGTCCCAGATTCAAAACTTGTTAGAAAGGGTAATGGCCCCTGTCCTGCTTTAAAAACTATAATAGTGGAATTGGTTAGCCTTGTGGGGTGTTGCAGTCAGAGCTGTGACACTGTAGATCTGGTACTTGCTCTTCTGATGCCAACCATCTGGTTGACTATAGATCCAGGAGCAGAAGCCAGGGTCAAATGCAGACCTTCTCCACAAACAGACCCTCTTTCTTCCCAGCTGCTCTCCCTTAAGCCTTTTCACCTAACCGAGGGAGGAGGGGCATATAGGAAGAGGAAGTGGTGTAGAATCCTCTAATGAGTGCTGCCCCCATTGTGTCCCAGCAGAGGCATAGACAGTGTCACTGCAGCCAGGAAGCCACCAATGCAACTAGAATCATCCATGACAACTACAATCAGGTGAGGCCTGGGGAGAGTATATGGAAGATGGAAAAACAAGATGGTTGAGCGAATGACAATATTTCAGCCTTCTCTCCATGCGAAATCATTTATCCGTTCCATTGGTCTTCATTGCAGGCCCATCCAAGTTGGTGCCTGCAACACGTTGTAGGCCATTGGGCAATCCCTCGGTCCTCTCCTCCGTTCTCCCTCTACTGTCTTCTTATGCCTTCATGGCAGGTCTGTCCTGAGCAAGATATGATCACACAGTAGAAGCAATGACCCCCAGACTCTGAAGCTATTATCCATGAAACATGACACATACAGTGTCCTTGTGGTCAGAACTTAACACTTGGCATCCTGCATACTGGTGCCAGTACTCAGCACTCAGTAATTCTCACAGGGGTGTTGATACAAGAACAGCTACCAAGGTGTGTCATCAGTAGTTCTGATTAGAGCGGAGAGTCTGGTCTAAGTACCTCATTCTCAAAACTTTCCAAATGATGCCAGTGCTTTGAAGAGAAAAGAAGTTAGGACTGTCTTGGAGCTCAACTTCTTTGGGGATAAGCTTTATTAAGTGATGCTGTAGAGTGACTGAAGATTCAAGTTACTGTGAGCCAGGTACTGTTCCAAGCCCTCCAAAGTATTACCACCTTGACTGTTCACAGCAAAGCTCTGAGTATAAACTGCATTAATAAAGTAGGAGATGGAGGCACAAAGATTACATGAATTGACTAAGTTTATACGGCGACTGCTTGGTAGAGATAGGACTTGGTCCCATGCTGACTGGCTCTGAGGGATGTGACTTAGTTTCTACCACCTCCTTTTAGTATGGAAGGAGGTAGAATAAGTCAGGAATTGCATTCTAGGTCTGTTGCTCTAACTTGCTGTGTGATGTTTGGTAGACATCCTTTGGGGGGAGGGGATCAGTGCTTTGGCATGCCTGTAGAGGCCATGTGTTCTCCTTAGTCACTGGAGAGCACTGAAGGGAATCAGACTTCCCAAGAAACAACAGTGATTAAATTTAATTGATATTAATAGAAAATTAAGAAGACCTTGTTGGCAAGGCTAATATTTCCTGTAAAAAGAAGAGGAAAAAAGAATGGAGGATTTAAAAATTTGTGTATAAGGAGCTGAAATGATTTAAAGTGCTTGTTTGTTGGGGTGTGCTGATGCTAAGCTGTGAGGAAAATAACTTTTGATTCTGCATGCTATGCAAAAAGTTTGATAAATAAGAAGCAAAACCTCACGGGGTTTCATACATAATATGGTGACTGTAATATCCAAACTTTGATGCAGTCAGACTTCATGAGGCACTTATTTATTTATTTACTTACTTACTTATTTTTGTTTTAGCTGGAAGTCTCATCTGCTGCCATCAAGTCTCTAGGAGAGCTGGACATATTTTTAGCGTGGATTGATACGAATCATTGGGAAAGGTCTGCAGCTTGACACTAACTGCCTCGTCCAGTTATCTAGGGATACACAGCCCACTGTGAGGGCTTGCTTCTGTTTGTTTTTGTGATCAACAGCTAACTCTGAAGAGGAGAGAAATTTGGAAAGCCCCTGTAATTATCTAAAATGAGCGTCTTTTCTGTAAACTTGCTGATGTGGAAGGAATTCTCTCTTCTGGGCTGGAGCCAGGAAAAATTGGGGTTTGAGTGGATCTCAGCTCCTGGCTGAGGACTCAGCTCTCTGATCCTACCTGAAAATAGCCGAGTTTGGCTGCTGTGGTATTCATAGCATTATGTGGCTGTCCAGAGGTCCCAGAAGCTGTCATAGGAGCAATGGGTAGCCTCTCTAACATAGGCTTCTTCCAGGCCTATGCTGTGCACCTCACAGGGTGCTGTAGTGCATATTGTACTGACTGACATTTATGAATAAACTGTGCTTTATCTATGAGAAGTTATTGCCTTCTGACTCATGAAAGACTCATCTATGGAAATAAGAGAGGCCCGAAAGATCCAGAGCAACCAGGGAAGCTTAGTTCTAGATAGGGACAAAATGTGTGTGAATATATGACTAATTTTTCATTGCTGTAACAAAATATCTAGGTTGGGTAACCTTGTCAATAAAGCAAGTTTATTTAGCTCATAGTTCTAGAGGTCCAAGAGTATGGGTTACACTGTTTGAGCCCTGGTGAGGACTGCACAGCAGCTGTTGTCACAGTGGAGGAGTGTGACATGGAGAAGAGAGCACGCTGAGACAGAAGCCAGAGCAATTCAGGAATTAGGCCCACTCTTTCTCTTTTAAATATACTTTTATTTACTCTTTGAGAATTTCATATAGAGTGTGCAGCCACCATGGGAAGCAGAGTCATGCATGATCCATGAGAGGCAAGAAGGTAGTTCTGTTCATCATGCCTTAGTATCTGGTGTTGGTTCAAACTTTGGACCAACCTGGGGGGGAGTCTGACCCCAAGTAGTTAATTTTAGGTATATTTAAGCACAGCACAGTTTGGTGAAAATTTTCTTGGTGATAACTTATTTTGCACAACAAGGCTGAGGGCATGACTACGTTGAAGCTCTTTGTAAAGTGTATGTGACATCGTCCATAGAGATAGGTTCTATATGTTGAGAAGAACAAGCTCATGATAAAGGTTTGGGGACTCTCTGATAGCACCATTGATTGACTGAGAAAAGCAAGATCAAGAGAGGGGTCTGAGGAAGGATCCTAACAGGACTCAGTGGCCACAACCAACAGCAATTAACCAACAACCAACAACTCACCCTGTATCTTGGTGCCCTAGTATTTATATACTCTCTGAAAAGTTCAGAATTCGAAATGTCACACAGTCGCAGAAACTACCCGCCACTGGCAAAATCACACTCCTGTTAGAGCTCAAAGCCCACCATAGTAAGCTGCTGTGGACAATCTAAGTCCTGAGACTAAAACAAAAACATTCACATAATATTTCTGCCTTTTTTTTTTTTTTTTTAAGAAAACCAAAATTTTTACTACAATGCTCAGCCATTCTGACCTCCTGAATGTTCCTGACACCCCAGGCATGCTGTTACCTCCAGGCCGGTGTGCTTCATGCATATGCATGCCTGCAAACTGTAGAAGGATTTTAGCCCTCTTACCTTACAACTCATGCCTTAATGGGACTGATAGGCTCTCACAAAGAAGCAAACTTTTTGCAGAGTACTCAGACTCTTCGGGTGACCATGAATTGCGACCCAGACCAAGAGAGCTAGATGACCAGTTCCAACATTTTTGGTATTTTTTGACCACACTAGATTTCCCCAAAGCCTGGTGTCACTTGCACCCCACTTTCTTCAGGCTTTTATTCCACAGAACTCTATGTTAGCCTAATATTCCAGCTCTGCCATTAGCAAGCTCATGTCTTTGTCATGTTTTTCTAGAATCCTATTTGTTTACTGTGTCTCCCAACTTGGGTGCAAGCTCCATGAACACAGGGGAGTTTGTTTGTTCATTCTCTGATACTTAGTATGTGTTCAGTTCACATTTATTGAGCAAATGATTAAATTAAAGCAATTCTATTAAGCAAACATTTATATTGTATATGCTGGCATTAGTCCCCAAATGTATATACTATATATTTTACTATAAATGTTTTTTTTATTTAATCCTCATAACAATCCCATAGCAATGCTGAGCATGAAGCTATGTTATAAAGGTTACCTCATTGAATGCCAGTAGTAAAGATAATTATACCCCAGGGCTGATATGGGAAAAGAGGTTAAAGTAAGGTATCCAGTGTCACACAGCTCATACACAGTAAGGCTACTCTTTCATTCTAAGAACATGGTTTCAGAATGAACAGTAATGTTAAGAGCAATGGATATGTCCTGAAGCACTACTGGCAAACAGCGGGTTTTCTTCTAAACTCTAGGGTTGTCCTAGAAGGTATAGACTATTGGGAGCAAACAAAGAAGAATGAAGTGTATCAGTGTTCTCTAAAGGAATAGAACTGATAGAATGAATACATGTACACATGTGTTCATGCATGTGTGTGGACATGTGTGTGTATGTATAGGGTGGCCTACAGGCTGTGGTCTCAGTAGTCCAAAAATGACCGTCTCCTGACAGAAAGGCCAAGGATCTGGTATTGTTCAGTCCATGAGACTAGATATCTCAGCAGTCCCAATTTGGTGCTAAAGTCCCGGCCTGAACAATTCTTAGAGAACATCTTCCGTCTATGTTAGACCCTGAAGAAATAGGGTAAAGGGATGCCTCAGAAACGGGGCGGATGAACTTGACAGTGAGGGTGAGGGCAAGCAGGCAAAAAGCAAACACTTCTTTTATCCATGTGCTTTTACATAGGTGACACCAGAATGTGTGGCTAAGATGTGGAGTTGCTCTTCCCACCTCGGATAATCCAATAAGGAAAATCACTTACAAACATGCCCAGCTGCTTTGGGTTTTAGATGATTCCAGATGTGGTCAAGTAGACAACTAAGGTTAGCCATGATGAGTTGTAGAACCAGAATCCAAACTCTAAATCTAGGACCCTCAATCATGGGGCCTGTATATTTATGATGAGAAGCCTGGAAGAGGAGGAGATTTACTGATATGGTAAGCTGTTCCTGCAGGAAAGAAATGCTGTTGTCAGTGGTAGTAGAAGTTGTAGTAGAAGAGGAAGAAGAGTGAGGAGAGAAGGAGGGAGGAAAGCAGAATTCTCCCTCTCATCTCAATTAACATTTTATTTGCATTCTCCATGTCTACTTACCTCACATCTCAGCTCTGGCTACTTTGTATTGTTTTTGTCAATATGCCTGGCAGAGTTGTGGCTCCTGCCCCTTCCCTTCCATACGGCTGATGCTTGAGAAATATTCAGAAATAATGTGCTTGCTTGGGCATCATATATACTATTTTAAAAATGGAACGATACAAAGAAAATTATAATCTCTATGGAAATGACATGCAGATTTGTGAAGTGTTCTGTACTCTGTGAAGTTCTTAAAAACATTGTCTAATAAATATTATCTGAAACTAGCTTCTATGGGATTTCATGAGATTAAAAGTTTCTGTATTGGTCCGCTCCAACACCTATCACATCTATGAGCTGCTTGAGTGAGTGAAGGGGCAGGCCCTATTGAACCAGAGTGCAGGACACCCACAACTCAGGGAAACAGTAGAATATTTGAGAGGAGTCCCCATGAGGGTCCAGTATTGACAGTGTACCCTAGCCAGAAGGAAGTAGCTAGGGAGAACTCTGCCCCTTTCCCCTCTAACCTTCTTTCTCTCCTACTTGGTGTTGGGGTGTTGGAAGGGATTAGAGTGGAGAAGGAAGGTAGAGATATAAGAAACCAAATAAAATAGTATAAAAAATATGCACAAGTGGCACCCAACATGGTGCTTAGAACAATGAAAAATCTACTTCCTAATGCCATAGAGGTGACAAAAGGGCACGAAGGAATGAGCATACTATTTCAGGTTTTTTTTTAAAAAAGTGCCTATACATCTGTGAATGCTGTGAAGCACAGTACTGGCAAGTGTGTCAAAATATGCACACGGGTGCAATCGCAGCAGGGCTATTAGGGAGGGTACAATCATTTTCTGATTCCCCCATAATGTGTAGGCAGAAACACACACCTACTAACTACTGTAAATATGGCCGGCAGACCGTGGCTGGAGAGCTCAGAGGCCTCAGAAGGGAATGTACTACTATTGTTTTGCTAAATGGAGATAGTATGAAACTTCCCTCTGAATATTTATCTTTATATTTATAGTGTAAGACCTGGGGTCTCACAGCTCAGGAGTTCAAGATCGCGCCCTTCCCAGAAACTCCCCCAGACCAAGACTCGTTGCAAAAGCAAGAGGTTTATTAACCATTGCGCAATGGGGTCACCCCTGCCGGTCAGCAAAGAGTGGCACCAGGAGACAAAGGCCTTTAGGTTTTTAAAAGAAAAATTGCGGGAGATTTGAAGTTGTAGTCTTGGCAATTTAGGATTGGACGAGGAAGCTATAAAGTAAGATAATTGGTTAGTCTTAGGTGCTCAAGCTTGGCCAGTCCTGCCAAGTGTGGATGCAGCTGCAATTTAAGGTGGGGGTGGTTAGCTCATCCTTGAAGATTAGGGGCTACAGACTTTTGGCTGGAGGTCAAAAGCTACTCAGAAGAAGTCTAGGTTTGTTGCTAAAAAATGCTATCTCAAAGATAGGAGTTTTTCTTTTTGCTGAGTGAAGGTCATTGCTTGCTTGCCTTTTTTTTTTTTTTTTTTTTTTTTTTTTATCTGTCCTCATAGATAGGGTCACATTTTTCCATTCTCTGGAAAGGTACTAAGAGGCTTTAGCTTAACCTGAACCTAAAACTCAAAACTATAGGCTTTAGAAGACATATAGGTAACAAAGTTAGTCTAACCCTTTCAATAGCTTAGTGCAACTCTCAGTGCTCATTAGCAAAGGTTTCTGTGTGGTGAGCAGTAGCAAACCTGGAATCTCACAACTTGTCAAAGTCCAGAAACAAGCATCTGTGCAGTGTTCAGGTGAGACATCTGTATCAGGGAGCACTGTGGAAGAAGGTGAAGGAAGATTTCAAGAGCCAGAGGTTGAGGAGATCTGGGGTAAGACAGCCTCTTCTGGATATGACAGGACCATTGCACTTTTGAACCCACAGCAGTGGTGGTTGTCTGCATAAGACCTGAACATGATAACGTCAGCCAACATTCCTTTATGGGTGGGGAAGGAACTCACAGGCCCCACCCTCAGCTGAGGAGCTATTCACCGTTGACTGCTGGGTGAGGAAGAGCCAGTTTTCTTTAAGGGAGTAACCAGAGGCAGGTTGATCATATTCTTGTAGATTGCTCCATATCCATAAGTATATGGGAAGCACAAATTTGACTCAGTGAATTGTTTTTAAAAATAAAAAGGGAGTAAAGTTGGGAGGGGGATGAGGCAATGGTATGATCTGAGAGGAGTTAGGAAGAATTATGGGGGCTGAATATGATCAAAATAGATTGTATACATATATAAAATTTTTCAATGAATTAATAAAATATTATATTAAAAATCTGCTTTAAATGGAGATAACCTAGAACCCCTGCACAGATATAGCCCATGGCAGTTCAGTGTCCAAGTGGGTTCCATAGTAATGGGAAGAGGGACTGCCTCTGACATAAACTGATTGCCCTGCTCTTTGATCACCTCCCCCTGAGGGGGGAGCAGCCTTACCAGGCCACAGAAGATGACAATGCAGCCACTCCTGATGTGATCTGATAGACTAAGATCAGAAGGAAGGAGAGGGGGACCTCCCCTACCAGTGGACTTGGGGAGGGGCATTCGTGAAGAAAGAGGAGGGAAGGTGGGATTAGAAGGGGAGGATAGAGGGGTTTAATGGGGGGATACAAAGTGAATAAAGTGTAATTAATAAATGTTAAAAAATAAAATAAAATAAAACAAAAGTGGCAGACAAAAAAAAATCTGCTTTAAAACATGTGCTAACAAATCAAAATGTTAAAAAAAAAATCCTTCCCAAATCCTTCTGAGTCTTTTATCAGATCCTGCTTATCACCCTGAAAAACCTAGGGCTTACCTTCAGGATAAGGACCCCAGATAAGGAACCCATATGCAACAGGTCCAGGCCAGACACTTTATACACAGGGTTTTATTCCTCATAGAGGGATGAGGAGTTGGTGTTCTTACCTTTATGTGATGAGTGAGCTGGAAACCCCTTTGGTGGGTGGTAGAGTGAACCAAGGTGTTTCTGGGGACATGCACTGGGAGGGTTAGGGTCCTTGCTTTGGTTCCCTTTCCTTCTATCCCTGGGAAAATTCACTTTGCTCTGGCTGAGGATTTATAATACAGAGCCAAGAACACTGTTCTGGAAGCCAGCAATGTAGATAATTAAGCCCAGAAACACCACCAGCAGCCTGCTCTGAGCAGGGGCATGCCTCTGAAGCTGCACAGAAAGTGGATCAGAACAGCAAAGAAACAAGAGGCTAAATTTTCAATGTGTCACTCAGTGTTCAATGTTCTTGGTCCAACTGAAGGTCTGGGACCCTCCTAGGGTCAGGCATGAATGAGGCCCCTCTATCTTCCTTCCAATTTTGTTTAGAATCCAGCTTTCAGTAATGAGATGTGTGCCTCTGTCTGGGGTCTGGTCATGTTCCCTGATGCTCTAAGAAGACTCTGTGATTCCACTCCTTGATTTGAGAAATATAGGAGTAGTTTTGCATATCCCATAACATAACTGGGTTTTTTTAAGACACCAAAACTCTCACTCCAAATAGGAGCACTTGGACAAGGTTCTAATACTTCCTCATCCAGCATCCCTGTGAATGAGGAGAAAGAATTCAATAAATTCCTCTTTGCTTCCTCCTTCCTCATTTCCTCCTAACCACACCTGCAGATGGCCAACAGGAGCAAGGAACAGTTCTAGATGAGAGTCTTGAAGTGATGTCATGGTAAGAGAATCAGGATGTGAGTCACAGGGTATAACATGAAAGTGACTGTGTGTTGAGAGTGTGGTCTTTCTATTGGGAGCCAGACAATAAAGTTCTCTGAATCAAGAAGTAAAGTCTATGAACTCATGGGATGTGTTTGATTCTGAATAGGCCATGGAAACAAAAGACTACTGGCCTCTTAGGAATGGAAGGTCTTGGAGTCCAACCAGGGTGCTCACAGTTCATTGTAAATTTTTTTTTCCATCTTCAATACCTGCTCTGATCTCACCAAACACCTACAAGGCAGTATCCCTGGCACAGCTGCAGAAGCACTTTCTGGTCTGAGAAATTTAATTCCACTTTCCTTGCTGTGAGGAGTACAAACCCTTCTGGCTGCCACAGTCTCTTCACCCCCAAAGCTCACAGGGACATTAGTTCTTCTAGGTCTTGCTCAAACAAAACTTTCTCCAGAAAAACCTTCTCAGATGCTTTCCTTTTCCTTTGGAAGTAATCTCAACTCTCATTCCACCCAAGTACCAATGATGAGCACAGGCTCTGAATTTTCCAAGGAAAGCCCTGATACAATCTCTCCTGTCATCATACATAGACTTTCTGCTCAGACCGTGTTCACGCTTGGGAGGTATATGCCTCTACTATTACAAAAGGGTTCTTAACTCTGTGTGTCATGAAGTTTCTGCCATACTAGTGACACTTAGAAACTCTCCTCAGAATAATGTTTCTAAATATATATAAGAGATAAGAAACCAATAATGTTAAATTGCAGCCACAGGGATATAAGAATAAGGTTCTGTTTCTTAGTTAATACATGAACACCATTTAGCATTGATAAGCACTGATGAGTATAATTGACATTTTGAGATGTCTTAAAGTATTGTAATGAGATCCATCAGGGACAGAGCCATCTGTTTTTCCCAATGCTGTGGTAACTGGCATTTGTTGTCTATTTTTACAATGGAAGAAAATGGTCATGTTGATTGAAGGTTGGTACAGAGATGTAGTTTCTTCTCATCTCCCTTATCCCAGTTTAAGAACTCTAGTGTTAGAGTTCTTTACGACTTAGGTATTACTTAGAGTAATCTAGCCTAGTGACTGCACTTGGGGAATTTTCCATGCTTGTCTATGAAATTAAAAGGAAAATAATTGTGTAAATCCCAAATCTTGTAGGTGAGATAATTCAATTCTAATTTTCATATGACTTCTTGGACCCTGACCAGTCTAAGGGCAGATTTTTAGAAAGACTCAGTCTTCAGGTAAAGTTGTGAGAGAGATTAGCCAACTCTGGGGACTTGGTGATGTCAGAAGGAGGATTCATGCATGTGGAAAAGGAGGTAGTGGATTGAGCTGGTGGAAGGCACCATGAAATAAAGATGCAGGAAGGGGAGATGACATCATTCATGCAGGCAGTGGGAGGACAGGGAAGTGAAAATGCACTTCTGACGGAGTCAGCTGCTTCATTCATGCCCACCCTGCCTGGCTCCCAGAGTTCAAAGGGTCTGCAGCAAATTCCCAGCATGTAGGCAAAGGAGTGGCGGAAGCTTCTACATGCCTGTGCACCCTGTTATCTGTGATTCTTCTTCTAGACCCCAAGGCATGTGTGTTTCCCTGCAAAATGATGCAACTGGGCATGAAGCCCAGATGTCAGCAGCTGTGATGCTATGGACCAGGAAAACCCTGAGAAGCTAATTCAGGACCCAGTATGGGAAAAGGAGTCATTAGGTTTCCTTCTTGGTGCCTACAAAAATTTTTCCTTCCCCTCCCCAAATGGCTTGCTTAGAGACTCAGGTTTGTTTCCTAAGAGGGGATTCTCCCTCTTATTATTCCCTGATTAGGTACTCACTGCTAATTTTGAAACCTAATTTTCCCAAGTTGGCTTGATGTATACATGAAATGTGAGTCAAGATAGAAAGATGGGGAAAATTGTAGATATGAAAAGAAAAAGAAGCCCTAATCTTAGAGACTGGTTGAAGCCTCTCCCAGCTGTGAATCAAGAATTCTAACAGAATTAACAACATTTGCTAAAGGTCTTATCCTTTTCCTAGCTATAATCCTATAATTTTCTAGGAATTAGAAACACCATTTATAATAAAAGATGTGTTCTAAACTCTCTGGGAAATCCTAGTGACTCCTGGTATTCCTTTACCAGATGATAAGCCCATCCAAGTCACCTCTGGAGCCACTCTATAGTATCACCAAAAAGAAGGGGGAGGGAGAGAAATTGAGGCTAGGTGAGAAGATAGAGGTACTCCCAGGGAATTCTATTCAAGTTTGGATTCTGATCTCTGTGCCTTTTCTCAGAAGAGAACATGCAAGCAGAAGGAGGCACATCCTTAGCTACAACCAGTCATACCCTCAGGCAGTGCTCGGTTAGGAAGGTGTTGGGGTAAGTCAGGGTGTAGCGAAGCACCTTAGGATTTGAGGAAATGGGACACCACCAGAGAGATTCCAAGGGTTTTCCAGCCCTTGCCTCCACCAGTGCATTTCCTTTATGTGGTGTTCATATAAGTACCTGGGAGCGTCTCAGTCTGAGACAGACTCCTAGGAGACCAGAAGAAGCAGCCCTTGCTGAACTCAGGTAAGAGACTTTCTCCAATGATTCTGGGGATGATCCCAGTCCACAAAATCATTTATCCAGATATATATATATAAGAGGGTCATGCCCAAAGGAAAGCTTTCCAGGAAGAGGAAGTCTCTTAGAGGCATAAGAAGTGTTACCATGATCTTTGTATCAGGTAGGTAATGGTCACACAATATTTAAGACAGTTGATATTCAACAAATGCTGGTCTGATTGTTGAATTTATGACAGTGTTGCAGCAAAAATCACAGCTCTCATCTTTTTAAAAATTAATTAACTTATTTATTCACTTTACATCCTGATCATAGCCCCTCTCTCCTCTCCTCCTGGTCTCACCCTCCCTTCCCCTTCCCTGCTCCTCTATTCCTTAGAAAAGGGGAGCTCCCTGCCCCCAACCAACCCCAGATTATCAAGTCAAATCTGTCAATCTGCCCCACCAAGGGGAAGTGATCAAAAAGCAGGCAATACAGTCCATGTCTAAGACAGCTCCTGCTCCCCTTACTAGAGAACCCACCTGAAGCCCGCAGTGCCCATTGGCTACATCTGTGTAGAAGGCCTAGGTTCAGTCCATGCATGGTGCTTGAGTCTTCGCAAGTCCCTTTGGTACCTGGTTAGTTGGCTCTGTTGGTCTTCTTGTGAGTCATTCCCTCAGGCAGTGCTCATTTAGGAAGGTGTCCTGTCCCCTCCAGGTCCTTTTATTCTCCCTTCCACTTTCCTATAAGACTTCTTACGCTTTGCGCAATGTTTGGCTGTGAGTCTTAGGATCTGTTTTGATCCACTGCTGGGTGGAGCCTCTCAGAAGACAGTTATGCTAGGCTCCTGTCTGCAAGCATAGGAGAGTATCTTTAATAGTTGCAGGATTGGCTCTCTCCCATGGGGGGTGGGCTCAGGTTGGGCCAAGCATTGGTTGTTCATCCCCTCATTCTCTGCTCTATCTTTATTACATCTTATATACATTTATGTACATTTTATAGGAGGGTAAATTTAGGGTCGAAGTTTTTTGGGTGGGTTTGTGTTCTCTTCCCTCCACTAGGAGTCCTTTCTAGTTAGAGGGTGTCCTCTTCAGTCTCCATGACCCCTGCTACTAGGAGTCTTAGCTAGAGTCACCCCCCCATACCCTTCCAGAAGCATATCCCACAGCTCTCATCTTAAAAGAAATAAGAAAGAGAATTTATTCTGGAGACATTTTGAGTAATCATGTTTAAGCTAAATTCCATGTTCCAACATGGAATCAGTTTCATAAAGTTTTATAGTTTCACAGAACAAAGAAAGTAGATTTTAAAAACAACAATTAAAATATTTAGGGTTTTCTCTTGCAGAGGTATGGTTAAAATAAGTATCTTGAAAAACCCATTTGTTCATTTTTTTTGAAAGGCAGTAGACATTTAAAAAATACATATATGCACTTTAAGGATTTTAGGTATATACAAAATATACCTAAAAGTATAAAAGTATAGACATAAGTTATCCTTTTATATTTGGAATAAAGATTTCAATGTATCAAGGGAGGACAATTAACCAATGGGGAAAAAAGTATTCTGGAGCACGAGTAACTGTCTTATAGCTAAGTCACAACCTCAAAAATAAGGACCATGGTGTAGAGCCAGAATTAAGACAAGAGTCAAAGAGATAACATCTTGACCAGAATTGTATGATTGTGTATCTCTTGTCCTTAAAAATAAATTAAAATTGTGTAAGTTTAAAAACTCAGTTATTTGTACCAAAGAAAGACTTAGGAACATTAGCTATCTCTATTTGCTTACCTATGTGGTCACATTAATTAAATATACCTTTTGTCTTTTATTATTATTTGTTTCATGAAATTTTAGTTTTACTGGGAGCCAAAAAATACTTTGCCAAATTAACAACATTAGTTTCAATGAGCATTTACTTATAAGTCAATTTGGTAGTAAGTAAATTTTGTTAAAAACAAACAAACCAGAATCACACACAGACAGTGCATATATACACACATATAATCACACATAGGGTATATTTTAATAAAGCAAAATTCTGAGTGTTATTGTTTGTTGAGATTATATTTCCAATATCTTCATTGTAAAAAGAAAACAACATAGAGATCTTCAGTAAGTTCTTTCTCTCTCTCTACCCTTCTTTTTTCTCTAGCTGAATAGCTGAGGAGGGAGTGACTTTTTTTTGTATCTCAGGTTCCTTTTTAGGAGATAAATCATGGTCAAAATTTGTGCCAAGTCATGTCGAACCGCCCTTTCTTAATAGGCCAGTTAAAAGTGCCAAATACAATGTGGAAGGCAGAGAAGGAACATTTATTCAATGTCATCACATTAGGAAGAGGGACAAAAAGACCCAGAAAACCTTTCAAGTCCATCTGCACGGTGGTGCAGTGAGTTCAAAGTTTAACTACAATGTAAAGGATATCCACAAAGGATGTCCAGGTCAAAGTGGGCCATGATTCAGCGGGTCATCATTACATAGGCATCATTCTCATCTGTAAGGTGGCTTGATAAGTTGTTGGAACCGTTTGAAATTCCTTTTTTTTTTTTTGTAGTTCTACTTTATTTATTTTCTTTTTCTTTTAATTTTATTTTTCTTATAAGTACATTTTGTTAGCTCTGTGTCTCGGCTGTATCCCTCTCAAGAAAGATGCTGTCGCACATGTGTGTTCTAGATAAATAAGTATTTTTGCTTCTGTCAATTAGAGAAGAGAAACTCAAGAAATAGAGGCAAATTTTACACCTAAATTACAGTCTTTCTTTCTTAACGTTTATAAACTACCAAAATTACTTGGAACTCTGCTTCCTAGCAAGTTTTAACAGATACTGACTGGCATATACGTCATTACAAGAGCAAATAAACACATGAGTTGCATAGTTCATAGAATCAGGTACTTACTACCGAGGGAAAGACAGTGCAGCCAACCCTGAGGAGACCTGATAGGCTAGCATAAGATAGAAGGGAGGAGGTCCTCCTGTATCAGTGGACTAGGGGAGGGGCATGGGGGGAGAAGAGACAAGGGAGGGGGGGGCCACAGACAGGATACAATTAAAAAAATGTAATAAATGATAATAATTAAAAAATGAAAATATATCAAAAAAAAAAAAAAAGAAATTCCTTTTGGAGAGATAAGTTTTTCTCCCTAGCTTTTTCCCATTCCTTTTCCCAGAATCAGATTTCTGAGAAATTTTCATCTTTAGGGTCTGTTATTTCAACAATCTTGTAGTCTGATTGAGAAACACAAACGTCTCTGTACCTGGACTTTGGCTAGTTTGTGGGTTCTTCTTTCTTCCACCTTTTCCCATTCTTTCAACCTCCTAACACTAGATAAGAAAGAAAAAAAGGATAGACGGGGAAAAGGGATGACGTTTTTGTTAGACTAATTCCTGCTGATTAGGGGTGTTGAGTTCCTTGGGATAAGTTTGATCTTTGATGCATCTAATTTATTCTTTGTGCATGACTACTTAACAAAACATAACCAACAGCAAACAACCAACAACCCAACAATAACAACAACCCCACCTCTCAGGGACATAGCATTTATATAACCTCTGAAAAGTTACCAGAATTCCAATTGTCACACAGTTGCAGAAGCTATGTTCCACTGGCAAAATCACATTCCTGCCAGAGCATGAGGCAAATCATAATCAGTTGCTGTGGACAATCTGAAGCAGCCCCATATTTCACACCTGGGATTAAAATAAAAGATTTTCCCATAAATAATTCTGACTATACGTCCCCACTTCTGTTTTAAGCCATTAATTCTGCTGTATGTAGCAGGAAATTATAGAGACATTTTCAATGAAATAAGTACTTTTTGGATCAGTGCCCAAGGTTTTTAGGAGAACTCTCCTGCCCAATTCTAATCTTTGTAAGTTTTGACGGTATTCACAGCTTTTTTTCTTTCTTCTTCATCACTAATGAAAAATTTCTATCTGTTAACATCCATTCTGATATTAGCACATCATTATAGTGAATAGGTTGATTTTTTTTCTATAACCCGGTGAATCTCAACTGCTCTTGTCTGAAACTGTTCTTTTTTTTTTTTTTTTTTGCAGGGCTTCTAGCCAGGCACCCAAGCCATTTCCTAGTGGTAAGAAATTGTCTTTGGATATCTCTCTTAGACTACATTCATTTGTCCAGTGACAATCCTTGCCACTTCACCTGCGCACCCCTGGAGCTTAGGCCTTCTTTCTGGTTTATATTACAAAACAAAAACATAAAAAAACCATTTCCTCTGGAGATACCTTGTTCACATTTCCAGCTCAAAGTAACATATTTCTCACAGTTAATGTACCAGATATCTTGAGATCTGGGACCTTGAGTGGGTTGGTCACAGTCTTTTTGCAAATGACTGAATTTCCCACAATTGAAGCACCAGGCATTTTGATATTGGAGACCTCTAGCTATAGCTTGATCTATACATTAGCACGGTACCTTTAGAACAAATATCAATTGTATCCCTCATCCATTCATTTATGGGTGCTGCCCATGCCTTTAATGGCCTAATAACCCTTTTACATTCAGTATTTGCGTTTTCATACAACAAAATTTCTTCAACACCTGTCTTTTGTCAGGGTCTGAGATGGTTTTGTTCAAAGCTGAGACTAATCTTTGAAAAAATTCAGTGAAGGCTTCCCACAGCCTTGTATAGGCTTTGTAAATGAGATGGACCTTTCCTTGGGCTCCTCAAACTTATCCCAAGCTCTTAAAGCTGCTAAATGACTTTGCTTTATATTTGCATCATCAAATTGAATTCGTTCTTGTATATCACAGTTTCACCCTTCACTCATTCCCCTTGCTCTATTTTGCAGTTCAATATTTGTGGCTTCTTTCATCCACCATGTTAACCATTGCAATTGCAAACTGGCCTCTAGTATAGCTGTCACCAATCCCTTCCAGTCTTAGGGAATAATTCTATTTTGAGTAGCCCAGTTATTTAGAATATCTCATAAGGCAATATCCCCTATGAAATCGTGGCCTCTTTAAAATGCCTTAGATCTATCATTTCTATAGGATGCCATTCTATCTCATCATAACCTTGTTCCAGCCTCTTACCAGGCAGTACAACTACTGCAAAAGCTGGTGGTGGTGATCTAACTCTGGTGGCATAGTTGGTTCAAGAAAAGTACCCCGAATTCCAAACATCACACAGTCACAGAAACTATCTGTCACTGGCAAGATCACACCCCTGCTAGAGCACGAGGCAAACATAGTCAGCTGCTGTGGGCAACCTGAAGCAGCCCCATATCCCACACCTGCAATCAAATGAAAACATTCCCATAATATTTCTGTGTTTTTCAAAGAAACCAAAATTCTCACTACAGATCTCTTTAGAATATTTTTGTATCTGCCAGGCCACTTACATGGTGTGTGTGTGTGTGTGTGTGTGTGTGTGTGTGTGTGTGTGTGGTGTGTGTGTGTGTGTGTGGGGGGTTTACAATGATGTTTCCCCAAAAAGCCATTTTTTTTTTTTTTTTTTTTTTTACATATGACCCAGGAGCAGAGTATGGAAGGATCTAGAAAGTGTGAGTAGCTCTCAAACGTTTAGTGGTTTTCTGGCTAGGAAAACAGAAGCAATGGAACACAGAAGCTGTATTTAGCAGGATTAATCAGTCAAATGATAGACAAACTCACCAACAATGCTTGAAGATGGGTCTCAGGATAACCCCCCAGGAATGCTGGGGAGGGGGCACAGACGTAGCTTCATTTTGTTATCTTTAACAACATGAGGAATTCCTGTACAGATCTGAGACTTTGGCTTTAAGGCTGAAAGAAATTTTAGGAGTGTTTACATAATGAAGATGCTTTCATGTAATTATGAGCATTAAAAGAAAAAAATGCTGCTCAAGGGAAACTGTAAGAAAGGGAGGAGATAAAGAAGCAAGGTCAAAGAAAGGGAAGAGAAGATAATTATTTTAGAATTTATCTCAGTGAATGCATGCAGGTACCTGGCTACCATTTAGGTGATTCCTTTGGTGAAGTGTTGTATCCTTGGAGCCCCACATTGTGTCACCATAATTTTTGGTGCAAAAAACTGACCTGTGGCTTGGGCACACAAATTTAGGTTACCCCAAATTCCATGTTGCAATGTGGAAGCCATTTCATGAATTTTTTATAGTTTTACAAGAACAAAAAAGCCATAAATCAAGTCAAGTTTAAAATACATTGGTGGGTACACTAGAGAGGCAGGTAGAGCAAGATGGGGAAAGCTTTTCTGCAGGCTCAAGACACCATCTGATGATGTTCTTAGATTCTGGGTGAGTGCAAGCTGGTGGTCTGCTAAGTTAATATAGTCCAAAGGTTTTTAATATATCAGTCATAAAATGTTAGCTCAGAGCAGACACGAGCAAGAAATCACTCTTCTGGAAGTCTAGAACTAGACCAGGATATGGTAACTAGCCTCTGGTCTGCACCATTCCAGTCACACCATAGGGCTGACATTCTATCAACTAATCAGTTTCTGCAGACAGCTTCCTTCTAGGACTTCTTTTTCCACAATAGACTTATTATATACTCACTATGTTTCAGGCAACAATGGCAATCTCAACATAAAACAAATCACTCCCTGTGTGGTAAGCATAGATACCATATTTTAAGTACAAGATGAATTTTGGAGTGAGTATAATCATCACCATTTTGGGGACTAAGAAAATAAGACCCAGGGAGATGAGTTGACTTACACATATAGGGTGTCCAACTCATTCTGGTTTACTTGTGACTTCTTATTGAAAACAAACTGTCTTTAGCTCAGTCAGTGCCGTCAGTCTTGGGCAAACGGAGACAAATGATAGTGGTGGGAACTTGTAGCATGGAGAGTCAATGTGGCTTTCCTTCTTTCCAAACCTGCTAACAGCAGCCATGTTAAAGTTATTATATATATATATATATATAATTTTATAATATATATATATATAATATAATTATATATATATATAATTTTTTCTCAGTTTCTTTCTTAACCTGGCTATCAAACAAATAACTGAGACTTTTTTTATGTTTGTTTAATAACATCACAGAAGAATAACTGAGCAGTTGTTACTCTATTTTAACCCTCTAGTCTAATCTGGTTTCCTCCCGGTGTATATCCCAGCAATACTTACACTTTGTAGCTTTCCTGCTCCTGCTCCTCTCTCTTGAGTTTTCCTGGACTTCTCCCATGGCTGAATCTCCTACTTCCTCCTCTAGCTCCTCCTCCCCTGGCTGGTAGGAAGTCTAGCCCTATTTTCTCCCTGGCTCACCTATGGCTGTAAGCTGCTTTATTGGCATATCAGTGTTTACACAACATTGAAACAGGAGATTCTCAGAACAAGGATTTCAACCAGATATCTGGGTACAGAAATCAGTATTTGAATTACACATTAACCTTATGACTGCACAGCCAAACAGATTGAAACATTAAGCATGCTTATTACAAGGCTAAATGATTGTGTATGTGTGTTCGTGTATATGTGCATGTAGAGGCATGAAGTCAGCCTGGAGGGTCCTTCTTCAGGAACCATCCATCTTGTGTTTGAGATGGGGTCTCTCACTGGGAAAGTGCAAGTGATTAGGCCAGTGACACAGCAAGCCCTGCCTGTGTCATTCCAGCCCTGAGACTGCAGGTGTGCTCCAGCGTTTTACACAGGTTGGGCATGTGCGGTAAACTCAGTGCTTGCCCATGAGGCCAGCAACTTCACTGACTAAGCCATCTGTTAGGGTATAAATATCACATGCCACGCAGCAGGTGTGGTGCAGAGAGGTTAATTGAGCCTTTAGGGCAGAGACAGAAAGCCAGAGAGAGCCAGAGACAGTGGGAGAACATAGGAGAAGAGAGGAAGGAGGATGGGTGAGGTGCCTCAGGAGAGAAAATCAGAGAGGGGAAGAGAAACTGAGGCAGAGAGGGCGTGCCGTGATTTGTCAGTCCTTTATATTTTGTGTGAAGCTGAAGTGTATCTGGCACATACCAGGTAGCAATGGGTGATGATGTCAGGTTGCTAGGCAACCTAGAAGTGGGCTGGTGCACCAGCTTGTGAACTAACACCATATCCCAACAAACACTTAAACTTTAAATATTTTGCTTAGACTTCCAAATTTTTATTGTAATTTTATCTCACTTTTTTTTTAAAGGGAAGAACATGCACCAATAAAATTTTCATCATATAGTTTTGAGAAAAACTTATTAAAAATATAAAAGTACATGTGTAGGGGCCCATGTTTCCCCTTCTGTTTCAATGGCTTGACATGACACTGTCAAATTCTGTTACCATTTAAGATGTTGACCTTTTTTTGCCATGGAAAATTTCTTGTTTGATGTTGCATTAGAATATTCTGCACATGGCAGGTCCACTTTCACTGCCAGCAGGTAAGGCTGAGAGCAGTGGACACTCACAGGGAGTTGATAGAGAGTGCATTTTAAGAGAAATGTCCCAATGTGTAGTTGTTCTGTACGCCATTTTGTAGGCTAATTTTCTCTTAAAATTCAGTAAGCATTGCTTTCTTTTTTAATAATTTATTTATTTTTATTTTATATACATTGGTGTTTTGCCTGAATGTCTGTCTGTCTGTCTGTCTGTCTGTGTGAGAGTGTCAGATCTTGCAATTACAGACAGTTGTAACCTGCCAAGTGGGGGCTAGGAATTGAACCTGGGTCCATTTAGGAAGAACAGTCAGTGCTCTTAACCTCTGAGCCATCTCTCTAGCCCCCAAGCATAGCCTTCTTAACTGAATACCCTCACTACAAGGACACACAAACTCCTTCAAATGTGTTTCTGCTTTTTGGTGGGGTTCATTCTCTGGGCCTTAGGCCTAAGATACAAGTCAAGGGAGAGAGCCTGCTGTTATTGGATCTGCTGCACGCATGTCTTACTGTGGCTCCCCTGCAGAGGGCACTGTGGAGCGCCAGGAGCCTCTAAAAGGAGATGTGTCAGTTTTTGCCTTTCACTGGCAGTGGTACTGTTATGAAATCATTGACTTTGTTTTTGGCATCGGGGCTGTAAAGAATCTATTATGCTCCATTAACCACTCTGATCTCAGACCAATGCCAAGTAGAGCTGGGCTCTTTTGCCCAGCGGGTGTCTATAAAATCAAGGCAATTTCCCCCCAGGTATTTTTAATGGCATGGTCATAGCTTCTGTGACCCTGTTTTTCCCTGTAGGTCTAAGGGGACTGCAGAATGAGTTGCACCGGCTTTCTGGAAGGGGAAGGTGTCTACGTCAATTCCCTCAAATGAGTTTTGACATTTCTTCTGATATGTCATCCTCTGTTGATTCACTGCAAGTGCCTGCTGCTCCGGGCCTTCTCCGCTGGCAATGACTGCGGAGCTGGGAAGGCGACACAATAAAGGGGCCATGACCTCTGGCACTACCCAGCACCTAAATCCTCAAGGTACTGGGAGGCTTCTGTCTGAAGCTGTGTGGACACATAGCACTCCTTGCAGCCAGGGAAGGCCATTTAGTTCCCACCCAGTGGGCACAAGGTTTTGGTGGCTAGACTGGAGAAATCAATAATCCTGATCTTCTCTTTGAATTTCCACTTCTGGTCCCCCAGATCTAGGTATAAGATGAAAGGCTTTGGTGTTGCCTTTGGACTATTCTCTGCTGTGGGGTTTCTCTTCTGGACTCCTTTGTCTGGGCTCAAGACTCTTCACTTGGGAAGCTGCGTGATCACTGCAAACCTCCAGGGAATACAAAGGGAGTTTGCTGAGATTCGGGATACTGTGGTAGGTAAAAGAGGGATCCATCTTTTCTGTCTGTGTGTCCTCGTCCCACTTTGTCTGTCTGTCTTCTCAGGACATCTCTGGTAGTGTGCATTTCCAAGAGATGCCTGTGTTTAGTAGTTTTAAAATGCCTTTCACTAAACCCTGGTGGGGAAGAGACCAAACATTTTGATATCTAAGACTTTGGCAGCAGTCAATTACCTGTCTTTTCTTCTGTTTAGCAAGCTGAAGATGAAAACATTGACATCAGAATCTTAAGAACAACTGAATCTTTGAAAGACACAAAGGTATGGATTTGGTTGGGGGAGCTTTGTGAGGGTAAAGCCAGAGCTTCTCCATCAGGCCTGGTGTTGTCTTCTGCTCTTTCCATTAACACTCTTGTCTTGTTATCTTTGCAGCCTTTGGATAGGTGCTGTTTCCTTCGCCATCTTGTGAGATTCTATATGGACAGGGTATTCAAAATCTACCAGACCCCTGACCATCATACGCTCCGGAAGATCAGCAGCCTCGCCAATTCTTTTCTTATCATCAAGAAGGACCTCTCGGTCTGTGTGAGTAAAGGTCCTGTGTGCTTAGCAACCAAACTCTTTTTCATATTCTATTGAATGTGCAGGCAAATTGAGTCCAAAATTATTAAACAAACCAAACCAAACCAAACCAAACCAAACCAAACCAAACCAAACCAAACCAAACCAAACCATCATCTTCAACAACAAAATGCCATTGAACCATGGACCTACTTAGAAATATCCTGTTTTATTAAGTATATGCTACATTAAAAAACCATTCTAAAATGCTTGAAAAATATAAAATTCTGGCTCTTTGGTGTTTATATTGATTAGCTAGAATCTATGAAACTAGATTTTTTTTCTCTAGGAAATGCATTCTACATCCTTATTCAGACACCTTTGTGTTCAAGTGGTCAGTCAATAGTTTATTGGGACTGACCTTGGGTTATGAATAGGACTGTAGAATTGCATTATTTCTTGGGTTTGCTCTGGAGTCTCCAAGACAGGATTTGGGTAGGAAGCCAGTGGGGCACTGGAATTACAGACTCCTTCAGCACCATCTCTTTCTAAAAAGACTCAGTGAGCTCCATAGTTGAAACTGAAAACTTGCTTATTTGCCTATTTAATGGTTAGTTAAATGATCCCAAATGATGAAGCATGAACAGACTTTCCTACAGAAATGACTATTCATAAAATTGTAGAAACAAAATTCTCTGCTTATGCCAATAGCAAGGGCAGAAAAATGCAGATTTAAAATAAAGTTAGAAGTGGAGAGAGAGATGGCTCAACAGTTAAGAGCATTGGCTGCTTTTGCAGAGGACCCAGGTTTGATTTCCAGTAACCATATGGTCGCCTACAACTTTGTTAACTCTAGGCTCAGAGACCCGATGGCCTCTTCTGGCCTCCGCTGGCACTGCATAAAAACAGTGCACAGACATACATGCAGACAAAATCCATATACACTCAAAGGTAAAAACAAAACGTATCATTCTTTTCCAGCATTCCCACATGGCATGTCATTGTGGGGAAGAAGCAATGGAGAAATACAACCAAATTCTGAGCCACTTCACAGAGGTATGCACTGTTTTTGTATGGATTGTGGTAGGTGTGTTTTCGGAACTGAGATTGTAGATATGTGGGAGGGATATTCAAGTTGGTAAAAAATCACATTAATAGTTCACTATGGCCCCAGGACTATCCCAGGTTCTAGAAGGATGCTTTGTCTACATGATTCCCTCCTAGTAAAGAAAGATTGTCTATGACTTCTCCAACTATTCCAGAGATACCTGCATCTTCCAAGGGGCAAAAATGAAAAACAACTGTTTTCTAATATGCACAGATATTCTTACTTTCAAAAGCACTCACCTGCAGTATCACACACACTATCTATATTGTCTTTCACAATAACGCTTTTGATCTTCTCCCAGAATTGGCTACCTCTTGTCATACTATGGAAACTCCTATCATTTATTCATCAGACTGCATTTCAGCCCCTGCCCATCTCCCTTCCTCAATCAAGAATTACTTATGGGCAAAAATTCTGCCATTCACTTCTGAACTGGTCTAGTGCTTGACATAGTCAATATTTATTAGATCGAAGTATGCACAGTAGGGAACACACAGAGACAACACAGACCAGTGCGCAGATACACAGACACATATGCCATTCTCAAGGAAAACAGCCTTATTACTTTGATCTGTGAGTTCTTTCTGAGCCTCAGTTCCCTGTGTAAAACCAGGGTGGTGGGTTCAGTTTTTTATGTAAAAATCTGAGATTCTATCACCTCTTTCAACCTCTTCATCCTGAAAAGAACTCTCTCTTCACTGTCCCAGCTGATCAACCTACAGGAGGGAGGATTATCCCTGGGCAAATGTCTCTTTTGTATCTCTGACAACATGCATCTACTCTTCCTTCAGCTTGAGAATCAGGCAGTGGCAGTAAAGGCTTTGGGGGAACTAGGCATTCTTCTGAGATGGATGGAGGAGATGATATAGATGAAAGCGATGAGGCTGCTGAGACCAGTTCTACCCAAAAGTCCCAGACCTCAGTACCATG